CGTAATTTTACTATATTTGGCCCAGGGTTTCGCGAATATTGATATTTGTGTTTAAAATTTACTATCGCGCGGTGTTATATGTATTATGAACTAGACATTTATAAAAAAGTATTTATTATTAAATAAACAAGTAAGAAAGTCTAAGTTCGGACAGAGCCGAACATTAAATACCCGGCGCAAGTCTTAAATATATGTTTTTAAATTAGCGTCCTTAAATTTCGAAATATTGAAGTTCAAATCATTTCAGAAACTTACCGTTATATGAAAAGCGGCCGCAATCTTAGGCTGATTTCAATAATTTTCAAAGTTTTTCTTTTATGTGGCAAGCACAATAAAAATACCGAGTTTGGTACAAATTGGTAGAACGGTTACCGATATACATATATGTGATCTTAAGTGGGCGGTGCCACGCCATTTTTCCAATATTTTATCATAAGCGTATTTCTTGGTAAAGAATTGTTGCAAGCATCAATTTTGAATAAATTAGCTTTAATATTTACTGATTTATCGAAGGTCCTGTATTTCTCTAAATTACCGTTATATGGGATGTGGGCGTGGTTATTGTCCGATTTTAAAAAACTTTCCGTTGGTATGCTGTACCAAGGCCGTGCCGTGAGAAGCGCACCACAAAAAGGACTGAACGTAATATTTTACTTGAAGCCACCACAAGTCGAAGCAGATCAACTACAGGCATGCAGCGGTCTCGGTCTTGAAGGTAATTAATAGTAGACGGCATAGCACTTCAAGAATAAAAGCCGACTTAGATGTCGAGACTGATTACCCCACGTCATTCTGAAATTTGAATCTCAAGACTTGCTAACACTTTCCAACCTGGCATAATTGGGAAGTTGGCCTACTGTAAGTTCGATACGGAAAGCAATACTTTTATATTTTCTCAATAAATTTACCCTCGTTTGAGGCTTATAAACTTTTCACATTACTGTACTTCGCACACTACATACAACAGCTGCTCTCACAAATGGCAGTCTTTTGATTGGTTTAAATACTGTGCCAAGTTTGAAAGAAATTCTACTCAGAAAAATCCTTCATCGCAGTCCTTGGAACTTATTAATCTTTCTTCTCCATGCCCTCAGGCATTGGAGCCTCCGCTATCTAAAGCCATATCCACTAGGTCTACATCTAAAAATAATAACGTCAATCAAACCGTTGATTTGACAGTGTTACCATCAACACCTGAAGCTGCACTCTCTAACTTAGTTCCTCCACATAACTCGGAATCCCGCATTTCAGACATCATTACGAAAAAGTTGGTTGTAATTCCTCCGAAAATATCAATCTTTGTCTCTAGATTTGCTAAAGACACTTCTTCGGATGACTAAAATTAAAACTAAAGATGTATTTATTCGTAAATTTAATTTTAAATACGATCGCGATATTTCATCTTTTAAAAGTGATGTAGCTGCCGAAGATTTTGATTCACTTCTAAATAATTCACCGGGGCATTTGTTCGCGAGTTTGAGTATAAACCTAATAAAAGTAATAACAACGTAGCTAAAATTTCTAATCTTAATTCAGATTCAAAAAACTAACTCGCAAGTCTAATTTAAGTATTTACTACCAAAATGTTGGAGGTTTGAATACCAAATTAAATGTTTTATATTTAAAAGGTTTTGACTGCAATTATAATATTATTTCCTTGACCGAAACTTGGCTCAAACCTCGTATTTTTAATTCCGAAATTCTTCCAAATGGATATAAAATATACAGGAGCGACCGCGAGAGCAGAATCGGCGGTGGTGTTCTTTTTGCGGTGCATTCATCGATACCATCAGAGGAAGTTAGTGCTCCTGTCATTGAATATACCGAATTTAAATGTATACGTGTACAGGCTGGAAGGAGTTATGTTTATTTAGCTCTATGCTACATCCCTCCTAATTCTGCCGTACCAGTACGTATGCAGCTAGTTTCTTTACTTGAGTCCGTAAATGCAATGCTTACGGCATCTGATTCTATGATTGTTTTGGGCGATTTAAATCTGCCAGACATTTCATGGAACATTATTGACACCGATGTTGTACCAGTTTCATCTAGAGATAGTTACAATGTATTCCTGGAGGAAATGGCTGAACTTTGCCTTAAACAAATAAATATATGTCCAAATAAGTTTGGAAAGGTATTGGATCTCGTTTACGTTGATGATGTTCCGAAGTCCTCTATTAATCGGTGTGATCCCCTAGTTTTGCCAGAGGATGTATACCATCCCGCTCTTGAGTTAAGCTACGAAATCATAAATGAATTACATAATAATAGGTCGTATAGTTCAAGTACTAGATATGTTTTTGCGAAAGCCAATTTCAGAAAAATCAAAAAAGAACTTTCAAAGTTATCTTGGCCAACATATAAAGATGACGTGGAGCGTAGCGTTGAGCACGTTAATGATACTGTTTTCAGTTTGTTTCGAAAGTATGTGCCAAAACGTAACATTGTTCATTAAAAGCCAATACAATTCTGGTTCACTAAAGAGCTTAAAAAATTTAAAAATATAAAGTCACATTCTTTTAAACTGTATAAAAGAACGGGCTTACACAGTGATTACGTGAAGTACTCATTTTTGCGGCTTAACTACTATGCATTAAATAAGAAATGTTATAAGTCATATTTATGTAAAATTAAGAAGAATTTAATTAACAATCCTAAGACACTTTATAGTTTCGTAAATTCAAAGCCTAAAGTACAAAGTTTGCCGTCCGCTATGCATTATCGCAACACTGTGTCTAGCGACTGTGTTTGCCCAGTTCTTTAGGTCCAATTATTCTGTAGACTTGCCTATAAGTGGAGACTATCCGTACAAGTTTTGTCCAAACAACTCTGCTTATATTCCAGTAATATCTACTATTTAAAAACCTTAAAAGCTTCATTTAGGCCTGGACCTGATCATATTCCGACCTGTTTTCCTAAAAACTGCGCTGAGAACATCTGCGAGCCTTTAACAACTCTATTCAATTTGTCACTAAAACATAGCATTTTTCCGTCAGCCTGGGAAAAATCTTTCATAGTACCACTTCACAAAAACGGCAGCAGGGCCTCTATAGAAAACTATCGAGGTATACCGAAGCTCTCCGCTATCCCCAAATTATTCGAAGCAATTATTGTTACTCAGCTGACATATTCTATATCTTCTTCAATTTCACTATCTCAACACGGGTTTTCCAAAGGAAAATCTATTATCACTAATTTATTGCCGTTTACAACTCATGTCTCAAACGGTTTTAGAGAAAATACGCATACCTACGTAATATACACCGATTTCAGTAAAGCTTTTGACAAAGTATGTCACTCGTTACTCATCCGTAAACTCGACCTAATCGGCTTTCAGCCCAGTCTTTTTCAATGGATCTCTTCTTACCTCTCTGATAGAACACAAAGAGTTATTTTTAATAATTGTCCTTCGAACATCATTAAAGTTTCTTCACGAGTCCCTCAAGGAAGCCACCTTGGTCCGATTCTGTTCCTCATATTCATTAATGATATTTCTTCTATAATAAAACATTCAAAAATTTTAATGGATGCCGATGATGTGAAACTTTTTAAAAACATTGTCCTCTGAGCAACGTGGTTAGTTGGTGTAATGCAAACTATATGGCCCGTAGTCATAGTCCATCATAAAAGCCGACTTTAGTTAGTAAAATACAAAAAAAAAGCCGACTTTATTTTTAGTGCTGTCATAGTCGGTTTAGTACATGGTGCTAACTAGTAACTACATTGTCAATCAGTAAATGTGCAGAAATGGCAACGCTGCGAAAATAGTGATGATATATTAGGGAGAAAAATATCGTAAATGAACTAATGAATATATTTTTCGAGGTTTTTTTTTTTAAGTTGAGAATTTTACAACAAAAGGCGGTTTTGTTGTTAGAAATCATTAAAAATAGGTTTCAAAAGAGATTTTGTGTTTTTATACTAAGTAAAAGACGATAATTGATGTGAAATATTGTACGTGAAATACTATATTACTGTTTATCGATTAATACAGCACCCGTCTTCAGGGTACATACATAAATCATCTGGTCTGTGTTTACTATTTGCAATTGAGATGGAGGAGGAAGCAAGAGTAAGCAATTTTTTATTGTTTTTCTAGCGATTGTTTAATTAAAACTTTTTTCTACAGGAAAGGAAACGCGAACACAACTGGGCTGCATCCGAGAAAGACTGCATGCGGGATTTGGTCAACGGGTACATCGATGTAATCGAAAACAGACAAAATAACCTCCGGATAATTAAACGGAAGAAAGATGCTTGTGAAGCCATAAGAATGGATATGGTAGCTGCAGGCTTCGATCGCCATGTGCAGATATTTCGCATCAGGCTCGAATGCATAAAAGAGAGGAGCTGATGGACCTGAAATGCCAACTAATTCGCCTCCTAATAAGAAACGAGGAGGTGTTGTATATATGTAAATAAGTAGTGAATTAGTTGATGTTAGTGATGCCGTACCTGAAGTTTTAAGAGGCTATTGTTTTTACATAGTTGTAGGTTTTATGAAATAAGGAAAGACTGAATTGATTTGTTTTATGCGTTTTTTAATGTATACACTACTTGTAAGGTTGATATGAAATACAAATGAGCATGTTCATTTAAATTTGAAATAAATATATGCATATGAAGAATGTTTGAGTTTCAATTTAAATTAGTAAAATAGTAGTCAGAAATATTTATTAATAAATGCAGTTCTCATCCTGAATTTGAAGTTGTTTCAAGGGTGTCTCCGCTTTCTGCAATTGATACTCGGGGAGTAGTGGTATCCGCATCCAAAACTAAGAAAATATTTTTAATGTATTTAATTTTGCAGGTTTTAATTCAAAGTAGAGGACTTATATGAAAAGTCTCGTTCTTTGACAATGTTATGAAGCACAGCAACAGCGACAACTACATTTTTAGCTGCATCTAGGTCAAGCCTCAACCTCTCGAAAATTTAACGAAACTTAGATTTGATCTGCCCATTCAGGCATTTTATTTTGGAACGTGTAGCAATGCGGCTCCTATTATATCTAAAAAGAATTATTAGAAAATTAAATATTTCAGGAATCCTTTTTATAAATTCTACCTTTCTTATTTTGCTGTGGAGGGATTTCTAACTGGAGTCAAAAGTATAGATGAATTAGGGTAACCTGCATCTCCGACTAATACACCGTTATGTTCAGATTTGCTTTCCAACAAACGAGTTTTTAGGTGGCAGTTGTCCCAAATTCGAGCGTCAAGTCTGGAGCCACGTGACCTTGCAACGATGTCAAGAATTTTGCAATCTGCATCACAAACAATCTACGAAATATGTATACGTGATTGTCACATTTGCTTATAACATTATGTCGTCTTTTTGGTTAGTTACCTGCACATTTAGTGAATAGTACACCTTTCTATTCAGGAAATGACCTGCCAAAGTTGGGCCCAAATTTTTTGAAGGACATTTAATTCGCACGAGGGTGCAGTCGATGGCTTCGATCACGGTAGGAAACCGAGCTAGTCGGTAAAATTTGCTGTTTACCTCGCTCAATTCATTTCTACTTGTGAATCGAACAAAGTGCGGCAGCAACATTGTAATCCTTTTACTTATTTCTTTTATTATCCTTCCAACAGTATTATGGGACAAACCGTGCAGATCAGCTATAATACAGTAATATTCATGAAATTTGATTTCGAAATTTTAATTACACTCTATTAACATACCAACGACACTTTGATGAACATTTCTTTGCAGGAATCTAGAGTACAGGCCTCTAAGAGGGAGGCCTCTATTATTTCTCGGATTTTCCATATTTAAAGCTCGAATAATGAATTCCACAGTGGCTTTGTCTAACCGATACCGAGAATAAAAATCACTGGCGTCTAATTCAAACGGATTTATTGTCCTAAGTTTTTGGACGCCTAAGAATTGTAGCATCATCAGTGATGCTGAAATCCCTTTCAATATTATCCAAACGGTTCATTTTCTCATTAAATTAAATTTTTTCCTAAACAAAAAACACTACTTTTGAGCGACAAAATGTAAATTTATTAGTATTTTGACAGTTTGCTAAATGGTTTAGTTACAGCTTTTCGTTGCTCTAACTTTAAAGTCGACTCTAACTTGACTTTGACTAAGATAAAGTATACTTTGCATTAAAGTACGTTCTAACTTATTAAGAGCCGACTTTAATTTGACTATGACTACGGGCGTATGCCACTAAACCTTAAAAAATGTAAAGTTATGTGTTTCTTTCGGAGCGCTGTTCAGCCAGCTGTTTATTCAATATCAGATTACAATCTGGAGCAGGCATCCAATTTTATCGATCTTGGTATCACAATGATCATATTAATGTTACAGTCAATAAAGCCAAAGGCGTTTTTGCATTTGTAAGGCGATGGTCAAAAGAGTTCAAAGATCCTTATGTTACAAAAGCTCTTTTTACCACTTTAGTTAGACCTATACTAGAATACGGATCTATTATTTGAAATCCCCCTACCAAGTTCATTCAGATAGGATTGAATCAATTCAAAAACAATTTTTGCTTTTTGCATTGCGTGATTTTAACTGGGAATCAGATTACAATCTCACCCCTCCCACAAGTCGTCTAAAGCTCATAAATTTGCCTACACTCGCAAGTCGTAGAGTAATGCTAGTTATAATATATACCGTAAAATGAATGGCAGGCTTGATTAATAGCCCGGCCCTTTAATGTTCCCTCTCCAGTGTCGAGACACTTTCGACCTCTGTTTTTGAAGCCATGCAAAACTAATTTTGAACTATACGAATCATTCCGTTGTTTATGTCAAGGTTTTAACTCTCATTCCAGCACGTTTGACATATCGGACTCGATTTTTACTATAAAGAAAACTATCATTTCCACTCTCAATAATTGAAATACTATCTTTAGCATATCCAATCAGTTGATGAATTTGATTCTGTGGCTGAATAGTTTTAGATCTCGACACTTAACAAACTCCTGTTTCCACTACTCGGCACCAAAAAACAAAACAAAAAAAACAAAAAAGTTCCGTACGTCATGCGGACTGCGCCAATTGTGTCGGTTGGGCGGGAATGGAGGGTAATAAAACGTTGAGATTAATTAATTAAATATGAAAATATGAATGAAAAATATTAAGATTTAAGCGAGCTGGACCGATTTGAAAATACCTCCAAAAACGGAGTTTTTTATGAATAAAAACAGTTTCTTAAAGATTTTTTTTGAAAAAATCCCCTCAAATGACAAAAAGGTTTAAGCACAGTATACAGTAAACCAGCCATTGACAATATGCTTATTTGAAAATTAATACATGAAATATTGTGCATGTGTAGGATTTTCTTGTCATTAACCGATAGGCAACGGCTGGTGCAAAAGTACCCACAAATGTTTGTGGATATATTCGAAATGTAAATTAAACAGCAAAATCATAAAAAAAATAATAAAACAAAAGTATTGTTAATTACTACAAGGGATGACAGATTTCGGCCAAATTTAATACTAACCTAAATTATTCCAAAGGCAACTTCGGCACCGACTTTCGTTAAAATATCTCAGACACGGCTGAACCAATTTTTCTCGTCATCGATAATCGATGGGACCATTTTCCACAAAGTCAGCCCTTATTCATTCAATTATTCACACAAAGTTGTGTTCGGAACGCGGTATGACTTATGTAGGAACTACATCCGGTCACAATCGCTAACACTTCACTCCTGATTTTCTTGGAATTTATTTTATTTTATGGCACTTGAAAATATTTTTCACTATAAGAAAATATTAAATTTGATTTCATTTGGGTTGACGAAAACGACAACCGTGAAAAAATATCAACCAATACATTCAAACAAACTGTCAAATAAGCATATTTACATTTTTTGTTTTGCCTATCTGGATTACTGTATACTGTGGGTTTAAGTTTTAAAAATTTACATAAAGGCTGAATTTCTTTATTCATTCTGAACGTTTGGAATAAACTTTTTTGTTTACTTATTCTTTAGAACGTTCCTGATGATATGTTAACGTATATTTCAAACGTATTCTGTTTATTCCGGCTGTGAAATGGGATTATCCGGAATGTATAAAGAAACGCAGCCAAAAATATTTTAAAAAAATATAAAGAAATTTTGAACGGAATCGTAATAATGAGATTTTTGATGATGTTTTTTAACTTTTTTCAAAGATTGGTTTAAGAAAAACTTGAATAACTGAACCTAAACTGTTTAACCGATTTAGACTTGTAAGGTATCATTGGAAAGGTATTTTCTCGCCCTTTTTATATCTTTTTTCTTATAAGCTCATTCAAACGATGAAAGAGAAAGGTAGGATGAACGAACATCATTCAAAGTTGAATTAAGATATGTTGGTATTGCAAAAAAAATATTGGGACACGAATGACTTTTTTTGCGCATAAATAAAAACAGTGGGAAAATACCTTTCTACTGAGATCCTATAAGTCTTAACATAACAGTTTTGGCCCAGTTATTTAAGTTTTTCGTAAATCAAACTTCAAAAAAGTAGCAAAACAGCATAAACAATCTCATTAATACGATTCTTAAAAAGATTTTTAAATATATTTATGCAGATTTTTTAAGCCTAATCTGTTTTGTCATCTGAGGGCCTTTTCTCAAAAAGTTCTTTAAGAAACTATTTTTATACCCGAGCGCACTTGTGCACAAGGGTATTAGAACTTTGTTCACATAATGGTTGTTCGTGACAGGCAAAACGAATCGAGATGGATATAGACAAATGTATACATAAATGATCAGAATGAAAAGAGACATCGATTAAGCGGTGATCTGTGCACACGATAACTCGAGTAAAAATCGAGATATCTTATCGAAATTTGGTATGTATACCTCTTTCGGGCGCAGGACGGATGGCAAAATCGGACAATAACCACGCCTACATCCCATATAACGGTAATTTTCAGAAATAAGAAAACAGCGATATTTCAGTAACTACTGAAGATTATTCACTCAAAACTGATATTTACCATAATTTTTAGACGAAAAATAAGAGTATTTTAAATTTTTAGAAAATGGGCGTACCACGCCCACTTAATGTTACATGTGTATAACTTGGTGACCGCTGCACCAATTTCTTCCAAACTTGGCACAGTTGTTAGCCTTGCTACAGCATACCAAATGGCCCACATCCCACATAACGGTAATTTGAATAAATACGAAATCTGCGATAAGTCATTAAATATTAAAGCTAATTTATTCAAAATTGATGCTTGCAAAAATTCTTTACCAAGAAATACGTTTATGATAAAATTTTGGGAAAATGGGCACTGCCACTTATGGTCACATATATGTCTCTCGGTAACCGTTCTACCAATTTATACCAAACTCGGTATGGTTATTGTGTTTGCCACATAAAAGCAAAACGTTGCAAATTAATGAAATCGGACTAAAATTAAGGCCGCTTTTCATATAACGGTAAATTTCAGAAATGCTTGAAACTTCAATATTTCGAAATTTAAGGACGCTAATTTTCTCAAAATTTATACACCCCGGCTTACCATGTAGCGGTAGCTTTCGGAAAGTTGAAAATCATATATTTAATACTTGCGCCGGGTATTTAATGTTCGGCTCCGCCCGAACTTAGACTTTCTTACTTGTTATTCATAAAAAACTCCATTTTTGGAGGTATATTCAAATCGGTACAGCTCGCTTAGATCTTACTATATTTGCGAAATATTTATGTGGACGTTTATAATATAATAAATTTTGTAATCGCAGCGGAAAATCCGCAACTTTTCTTGGTGATGCAGTCTAACATACATACATACATACATATCGTCGTTTAAAGTAAAAAAACCGCGTATCGTCGTTCTGCAAAACCGCGTAACTGACATTTTTTGCCAAATGTTGAACTTTATCACACAAGCTCTGGGCTCAAGCCTCATTCATTCGTCCTGGAATATACTAACAAGAAATTCGATTGCTTTAAAAAAAGGGAGAACCATTACAAAAGAGAACAACTTAACTCGCCAAGTTCAACATCCTTGTGTTCAAAAGGCCGAGGGGTTATCGCTATTGGTAGAAAAAACGTTTTATAATTTAGATGTTCCGGAGTGGTAGTATGCATCTCTAAAAACTCAGCCACGGCAGCCGCCAGAACGTGAGTGAGAAAGCAGATTAAGTTCGAAATCAAGTGGAGCAGAATTATAAATTTTTCGAAAACCGCAGTAAATATACTCTGCTGGTCTAAGCAGGGCTGCCAACTTGGCTCAAACCGTGCCATTTTTGCCCTATTTTACATCAAATGGCACTTAATTTTTCAATTTGGCAGTTAGTGCCTAAATGGCACTTTTCAAAAATAGTAATACTTCAACACATTTTTGTGAAATCCTTTGCGTGTACTTCTTTTTCTCAACTAAAATTTTCTAACTTCTAAAGATTATTCAACTGGTTTATCTTATTTTGGCATAGCACTTTTGTTTTAAAAATGTGGTTATTATTTTATTGCTAAATGGGAAGGATTAAAAACGACGGCACCATTTTTGGGTCTTTTATTTTTCTATTTGGCACATTTTGGTTCTTTTTTATCCTCAATATGTCACCTCATAGCTAAGGATAGTTGGCAGCCCTGATACTAAGCACTGATGGTCCATGCATTGAGTGCGACCAGCAGAAGCAAGCACTACCAGAATCAAGCGTGAGCTAAAAATGATAGGTGGTTAGTGTGCCGGACTGCTGCTATCTACCCACGGTGGAGAGAATACATTCTTGCTATCTACCAGCGTATTTGGTGCGCGCTCTCGCTATATATATACACAAGTGTTGCTACACATGGGCCATTCCCACCAAAACTGGTAGGTTTTTTTCCATTTGGTAGGTTAGTAGGTTAGATTGGATTTTGATACGTTCCGCGACAATAGAAGTTAATAGCGAAAACTTCAAAATATGTATCTCCCAACATTTTAGCAGCCTTGATTACACGAATATGTCACGGGTACGTTCATA